GGTGGTGGTGGTGGTGGTGGTGGTGTTTTTGGTGTGTGGTGGTGGTGGTGGTGGTGGTGGTGATGGTGAGTTATGATGGTAGTTTGTGGCGGTGGTGGTGGTTGTGGCGGTGGTGGTGGTGGTTGTGTGGTGCTGTTGGTGGTGGTGGTTTGTGGTGGTGGTGGTGGTGGTGGGTTGAGGCGGTGGTGGTGGTGGTGGTCGTGGTGGTGGTGGTAGTGGTGGTAATCGTCGCTGCGTCCCCGTCGTCGCCGGCGCCAGTGCCGGCGTTGCTGGCTGGCGCCAGCGCCGGCGCTGGCGCGAGGGGGGGGTTTGAACCCCCCCCCCTTGAGCTGCCTCTGATCATCGTCGCTGCGTCCCCTCCGTGGGCGCTGCTGGCGGCCCCCAGCGCCGGCGCCGGCGCCGGCGCCGAGGGGAGGGGGTGGGGGGGGGTTTGAACCCCCCCCTCCCCCGGGAGGGGGGGGGGTCGGAGGGGGGAAGGGCTTGGGGGGGAGGGGAGTCCCCCTGGTTTTGATCGATGGCGCCGAGTGTTGGGGGGGGCCCACCCCCCGGTTTGAAACGCGCCGCCGGATGTTCCCAGGGCAAGCGCCTGTGAAACGCGTTCTCTCGGAAGTCCCAGCCCTTTCCCCGGGGCGGGTTTGTCATCCTGAATATTGTTTTACGGTCCCGGGGCCCGGCGAGGGCCTCGAGAGTCCGAAAACGACGAAAAACCTTCGTTCAGATTTTTTTTACGACGCGATCATGTCTGGGAGTGCGTCCCTGGCTGCAGGGAGGGCCCCCTATTATGTGACAGTGCGCCTATACCGTGTCCCCCCCAGTTTCTGCAGGCAGCCCAAGTGCGCAGGCCGCCGCTCCCCATTGTGTAGACAGGGCAGACAACGGCGCGTTGAGTCCCCCTGTCGAAGTGTCGGCCTCAGGAGTGCCAAGCAATAGCCCCGACGCAGCGACCCCCCCCCGCCAGACCGGAGTGCCGCTCCCGAGCCCCTTGGGACGTGCAGGTGGCCAATCGAGCTGGCGAGGCGGAGGGTGCAGGTGCCCCGGCGGCAGCCACTATGCGGGAGATGACGCATGGCCCCCCCCCTGCCGCAATACGGAGGCATACCGATCCACCGCCCGGGGGGTCCTCTCCCCGCCGCCGCGCACCTTGCCGATAGCTCTCCCTGGACGCCTGACTCGCCCCGCCCGTAAACGGCCTCGCTGAGGTGCCCCCCCGGTCGGAAGAGGGATTTTCAGAGGAGGCTGGTGGCCCTGGAGGCGGGAAGCCGAAGTGGTTGGCGGTGTGGAGACCCTCAACTACCCCCCGGCCGCGTGCGCCCTGGCGGAGGAGATGGGGAGCAAAAGGGACCCGCCGTGATTGCGGTGACAGACGCTAGCAACGAGGATTACCGCAGTCCCCCCAGGGCGGGGAGCGCGTCACCTCCTACCTGTTGGCTTCTGCCACGTCCCCTTCAGTGCCATCGGAGCGCTGGCCGCCGCGATCCAGAAGGTGCAGCGGGCAGGCGGTGCATCCGGTGCGGCCTTGGCCAGGTCTTGTGCTCTGCGCGCTGGGGGCACCAGGGGCCCCAGCCAGCATGTCGCCGCATTCCTTCGCATGTTCCCCACATTCAGGCTGCAGCAGGCCCTCTGCGCGCTGGGTCGCTTCCGGCACGGAGTGCGCCCCTGGCTGCGGGGAGAGCGCCATCCTTTCCCGTCGGTGCACCGATTCGGTGTCCCACCCGCTTCCTGCAGACAGCTCACGGCCGCATACTACGGCCCCCGTGTGGAGGCGGATACCCCCCCGAACTACCCGGTGGCGTGCAGGGCGTCGCGGGTGGGCGGGGACCCCATTCTTTCCCGGAGGGTCCTCTCCTCGCTGCCGCGCACCTCGCCGAGAGCTTTCCCGGGGCGCCTGACTCGTCCCGCCCGTCGTCGGTCTCACCGAGGTGCCCCCCGTCGGAGGACGAGGTTTTCAGTGGAAGGATGGTGGCCCTGTGACGGGAAGCAGAAGAGGTTGGCGGCGAAGACCACCAACAACCCCCTGGCCACGAACCCCCCTGGCGGGGGCGACGGGAAGCAGAAGGGCCCGCCGAGGCTGCGCTGACGGACGCTGTTCCCCCAATGCCCCCCCAGGACGGGGGGCGTGCCACCCCCCGCCCCAGGCGTCTTTTGCCACGTCCCCCTCAATGCCATCGGAGCCCTTGCCGCCACAATCGTGAAGGTATACATCGAGCGGGCGGTGAACCAAGTGCGGCCTGGGCCAGGTATTGTGCTCTCGCCAGCCTGGTTTTCAGGCCGGCCGTTCGCCCATGCACCAGCCTACTGGGGTCTTGGCTGCTGCCGCGCAGCCGCGCAGTGCGGCCCAACTTGCCTCTAGCGCGCCCCAGTGATGACTGATCGACGGAGCAGTAGCCTCCTACCCAGCCGCCGACAAAACATGTGTGTGTGTGTTTGCGTGTGTGTGTATATATATATATATGTGTGCGCGTATGTGTGTGTGTATATGTGTGTATATGTGTGCGTACGTGTGTGTGTGTGTGTGCGTGTGTGTATGTATGTATGTATGCGTGAGTGGGTGTGCTTGTATGTGTGTACTCGTACGTGTGTGTGTGTGTGTGTGTGTGTGTGTGTGTGTGTGTGTGTGTGTGTGTGTGTGGGTGTGTGCGTTGTGTGCGTGCGTATGCGTGTGTATGTGTGCGTGTGTATTCATGCAGCGCCGCCTTGCTGCAGTAGCTGCGCGACTGCGCCTGCCTGGCGCTGGCCAACCATTGCCATGCATTCTGGCACCCTGGTGGCTGCAGACCCCTCCCTGCACGGGCGACTGATCACCGGCTTCGGGTGACGGTTCAGGTGGCACGCCGCCATCTGTGATGCAAGCTGCGCTGGGCGGCCACGGGAAGCCACGGGGCGGCCACGGGGCGGCCACGGGGCGGCCACGGGGCGGCCACGGGGCGGTCAGGGGGCGGTCGCGGGCGGCCACGGGGCGGCCAAGAAACGAAACTTCGGGTTCCCCACCCAATTCCGTGGTATGGCGAGCACGAACCCCTAACTGCAAGCAGTGTTTGGGGAACAAGAACTATTACCAAAACTACTCCAACGACTGCTACCACGGAAGGAACTGCTGATGCGGATGCCGAAATGTAAATACGAACGAGGACGTTAATGCGAATGCGAATGCCAATGCCAATGCCAAAGCAAATGCCAATGCAAATGCCAATAATAATACGAGCACTAGTGCCAATCACACTCGTAGCTATACCGCTAGTACTACTAAGACTCGCAATGCGGATAAAACGAACAATAATAACAATAGTACTCATAGGGGTAATCATATACGAAAAATGTTGTTTTCCGAACGCTGCCACACGCGCCCATGCCGATTCACAGCGTGTTGGGACTGCCCACGCCCATCCCCCCGGTCGTTTTCTGGCGGAGTCGTGCAATGTGTGGACTACCATGGGTCTTCATTGCGCACAGTGCCATCAGGTCGAGTTTTATACACTCACCACGATTTGCGTAAAGTATCAGTGTCGAAGAAAATGTCCTCAGGCGAATTGCGATGAGTTCTCATGTGCAGTATGCCACTTCGAACCACCGCCACAAGTTGTGAGGACGTCTCAAGCGGAACGGGGCGGATGCCATGCCAAACCAGGGCCAAACCAAGCAAATTGCGAGGACGTCTCAAGCGGAATTGGGCCGAACTAGGCTAAACCGAGGCCAGAACTTGTGAGGACGTCTCAGACAGGATTGGGCCCAATTCAAACAAAACAGGACGTCTCAGGCAGAATTGGGCCACGACAGGCAAATTCGGGGGACGTCTCAAGCGAAACCAGGGCCCAGGCCAGGCCGAACCAGGGGCCAAGCCAGGCAGATTTTGAGACTGTCAGGCGGGGCGCGCGGCAAAAAACAATCCAAACCAGGCCAAACCTGGGGCCAGACCAGGCAGATTCTGAGGACGTCCTAAGCAGAATCGCCCAAACAAGGCTGCATCCATTCTCCTCAATCAAATTCTTATCGCAGAAGTGGATCACCCCAGGGCCCCCCCTGCAGGTGGAGGCCCGTGATTTGAGGTGGGAAGGGGGCGTTTGGACCGAGCGTCCGCTGATGCGGACGAGGTTGGGCGCAGAAACCTTCACTTGTTTTTCGGTTGTTGTGGGGGCGTTGATGTGGCGTTTGGAGAAATTCTTCCGAGGTTGTTGTGCAAATACGAATGCGAAACTTAATCTTATGATTGCTACGAATATTAATTATAATGCTACCGTCATAATTTTTAGTATTCCAACCAATACCACCTGTGATGCGAATTCGAATTCTAATAATCATGCCAACTCTATTGTGGATATTCATTCTATTAGGGCACATAATGGAGAAGCTGTTACACATTCGACTATTGATAATACTTGCAATGAGACTTACTCGTGCGACTAGTGTTATGATTATTGATACGAATACGAATGGTACTACTAAGGCCCATCGTGGTACTAGTAGGAATCGTATTTTTTATGCGAATGCGAGTAGTGAGATTGATAGTTACACGAATGTCGAAACGAATGGGAATCTTATTCTTCGTATGATCACTTGTCATTGCTCGCCGTTCTGGTACGGGCACCAGTGCTGGTTCCAGTACAAGCGCTAGTAATATCTATACTAACTGATACGAATACTAATTCGAGTGCGAATGCTAATACTGAAACTTCGTGGCCTACCGTGACGACGAGAGGCCACGGGAGGCAATCGGAGGCCACGTGGATCCACCAATTCCAGATCCGGCGACCCACCTGTCAGTTTCACAGAAGAGACGCATCGGACCCGTATAGACAAGCTGCTTCGGGAATCTGAAGCTTTCCCCGGGGTCACTTTCCTCATCCCGAGTCTGTTCTTGAGGGTCTGGGGGCCGAGGGCCGCCCCATCTGACCAGAGGTTGCGATGCGGGCGGAACTGCCCACGACGACGGCGACGACGACGGCGACGGCGACGACGGCGGCGGCGGCGGCGACGACGCCGACGGCGCGGGCGGGCCTCCGCAGGCACCGACGCGGGCAGCCGCGCGCTGGCGGGCCTCGGCGTGGGCCTCCTGGAGGCCCGCGCGGTGCTGGAGGAGGTCGTCGGCAACAGGAGAGAAGGCAGGGCGACGACGGCGAGGAGGAGGAGGAGGAGGACGAGGAGGGGGGAGGAGGAGGAGGAGGAGGAGGAGGAGGAGGAGGAGGAGGAGGAGGAGGAGGAGGAGGAGGAGGAGGAGGAGGAGGAGGAGGAGGAGGAGGAGGAGGAGGAGGAGGAGGAGGAGGAGGAGGAGGAGGAGGAGGAGGAGGAGGAGGAGGAGGGGAGGAGGAGGAGGAGGAGGGAGGAGGAGGAGGAGGAGGAGGAGGAGGAGGAGGAGGAGAGGAGGAGGAGGAGGAGGAGGAGGAGGAGGAGGAGGAGGAGGAGGAGGAGGAGGAGGAGGAGGAGGAGGAGGAGGAGGAGGAGGAGGAGGAGGAGGAGGGAGGAGGAGGGGGAGGAGGAGGAGGAGGAGGGTGGCGACGACGACGCCGCCGTCGCCGCCGTCGTCGTTCCGTCGCCGCCGCCGTCGCAGCCGTCGTCGTCGTCGTCGGCGGCGGCGGCGGAGGTGGTTGGTCGGTCGGTCGGTCGGTCGGTCGGTCGGCGGGCATCGGGTGGAAGGCAGAACGCCCCTGATCCAGTTCACCATCGCCGCCAAGAAGGTGCTCGAGGATTCAATTCAGTGCGCAAGCAGGCAGGGCAGATCTTTCGTGGGCACCTCGCACTTGCTGCGGGCCATCCTGGACCAGGAGGAGCCCGACACTGGGACAAATCTTCTGGGCCGGTTGCTGGGGTGCGACACCGTAGAGGCTACGCGCAAGAAGCTGATAGGCGCACTGGAGAGAGAAGAGGCCACGCGCAAGAAGCTGGTAGGCGCACGAGAGCGCAAGGAAAGTGTCGAGAAGACCAGCGCCAGCGGCAGTGTCGCGCCGGTCCAGGGGGACGTGGACCTGACCCAGACGCTGAAGTACGGCAAGGACCTCACCGAGGCAGCTCGCGAGGGCAAGATGGACCCGCTCATCGGCCGTGAGGATCGAAGGAGAAAAAACGGCATAGACATAAACTGTTGGCGCTCCCCGCGGATTTCTTGGATCCGCGCTGGGGGGGCCCCCCGGCGGCGCCTCCGGCGCCGCCCCTGGCGTGTTCTGCGCGCCAGGGAGGGGGGTCCAGCGCAGATCCAAGATGTCCGCGTGAAGCGCCAAATGTTTATCTTCATGCCGTTTTGTTTTGTTTTTCTGTTTTTTGCCCACCCATCCTGTGGTGTTGGGCCCTCGTTTTGAAGAGACGGTGCACCGCGTCTCCTCCTCCTTCCTTCCTCCTCCTCCTATCACCATCATCATCATCACCCGCTTCTTCACAGCCAGCACACGTTTTGTAGTCCCGTAGGGAGCTCCACCGAAGGCCCAACTGGGACCGCCCGCATGCGTCACGCACCACCCAGTACAGCGCTTCGTGGCCCCATAGGGAGCTCCACCGACGGCCCCAGTGCCACCGCCCGCATGCGTCATGCACCACCCAGTACAGCGTTTCGTGGCCCCATAGGAAGTTCCACCGACTGCCCCAGTGCCACCGCCCGCATGCGTCACGCACCACCCAGTACAGCGCTTCGTGGCTCCATAGGGAGCTCCACCGAAGGTCCCAGTGCCACCGCCCGCATGCGTCACGCACCACCCATTATAGCGTTTCGTGCTCCCATAGGGAGCCCCACCGAAAGCTTTAGTGGCACCGCCCGCATGCGTCACGCACCCCACAGCGTTTCGTGGCCCCATAGGGAGCTCCACCGAAGGCCCCAGTGGCACCGCCCGCATGCGTCACGCACCACCCAGTACAGCGTTTCGTTGCCCCATAGGGAGCTCCACCGGCGGCCCCAGTGGCACCGCCCGCGTGCGTCACGCACAACCCAGTACAGTGTGGAGCTCCACCGAAAGTCCCAATGGAACCGCCCACACGCACTACCCACCACCGACGGCCCCAGTGGCACCGTCCGCATGCGTTTCCCCTACTCGGTACAGCGCTTCGCGGCGTGATAGGGACTTCCGATGTGCCTGCGGGTCGCCCAGGAAAGCACCTGGGAGGTGCCTGCGGGCAGCCCAGGAAAGCACCTGGGAGGTGCCTGCGGGCGCCTGGGGAAGGCACTGGTGCAGTGCCTGCGGGCGGCGGCCCAGGAAAGGGACCTTGGAGGTGCCTGCGGGCAGCTCTGGGAAGGCACCTCCACCGAAGGCCCCATTGCCCCTTTCCGCATGCGTTTCCCCCACCCAGCACGGCGCTTCGTGGCCCCATAGGGAGCTCCACCGAAGGCCCAGTGGCACCGTCTGCATGCGTCTCCCCCGCCCAGTACAGCGTTTCGGGGCCCCATACGGAGCTCCACCGAAGGTCCCAACGGAACCGCCCGCATGCGTATCCCCTACCTAGTATCGCGTTTCGGGGCCCCATAGGGAGCTCCACCGAGGGCCCCAGTGGCAAAGTTCGCATGCGTTTCCCCACCCAGTACAGCGTTTGGTGGCCCATAGGGGGCTTCACCGAAGGCCCCAGAGGCAAAGTTCGTATGCGTCTCCACCACCCAGTGCAGCGTTTCGTGGCCCATAGGGAGCTCCACCGAAGACGATACCCACAACTGCGGCACTCACAACTACGTATGGTTGGGTCCTTCGACAAGCCAATTTTCATTTGGAGGAGGAGCTCAAGCGCACCATCCGCATCCTGGGCCGCCGCTCGAAGAACAACCCGGTGCTCGTCGGGGAGGCCGGCGTCGGCAAGACCTCCATCGCGGAGGGCCTGGCGCAGCGCATCGCCGCGGGCCGCGTGCCGGCGACGCTGAAGGGGAAGCGCGTCGTGCAGCTCGACATTGCGCTGCTGCTGGCCGGCACCCGCTACAGGGGCGACTTCGAGGAGCGCCTGCGGGCGGTCGTCGGCATCGTCTGACCGATCCCCATCCCCCATCCCCATCCCCTTCGAGACCCCCACCGGATTACCACCCCGGTTTGTGATACACCCCTCGAAACCCGAAGGGGCCGACCCGTATCCCCATCTAGTGGGGTAAATCGGCCAGTGGGGCCCAGGCCACGCCGCTGGGGATGGGGATCGGTAAAACGATACTCAGGTCGTCAAGGAGGTGTCGGAGAGCAACCGCCGCGTCATCCTCGTCATCGACGAGGTGCACACGCTGGTGGGCTCGGGGGGCAACGGCGACGAGGGCGGCGGCATGGATGCTGCCAACCTCCTGAAGCCAGCCCTGGCGCGCGGCGAGCTGCAGTGCATCGGCGCCACCACCCTGGACGAGTACCGCAAGTACATCGAGAAGGACCCCGCCCTGGAGCGCCGCTTCCAGCCCGTGACCGTGCCCGAGCCTACGCAGGAGGAGGCGGTGCGCATCCTGGAGGGCCTGGCCTCGAAGTACGAGCGCCACCACGAGCTGCGCTACACCCAGGGGGCCCTCGCTGCGGCGGTGAAGCTGGCCTCGCAGTACATTCCCGACCGCTTCCTGCCCGACAAGGCCATCGACGTCATGGACGAGGCCGGGTCCAAGGTCCGGCAGCAGCTCTACGAGGACGCGGAGGACGACCAGACGGCCGCGGAGCTCTGGGAGGCCAGCCAGGAGCTCAAGGCGGTGAAGGCGCAGAAGAAGGTGGCCGTCGTCTCCGAGCGGTTCGACGAGGCGCAGCAGCTGAAGGTGCGGGAGGCGGAGCTCATCGAGCGCCTGAGCTACCTGCAGGACCTCCGCGGCGGCGGCACCGCGCCCGGCACGCAGGCGCTCCTGGAGGAGCTGCGCGGCCTGAAGGCGCAGGTGCAGGAGCTCGTGGACGCGGAGCGCTTCGGCGAGGCGCACGAGCTGAAGGCGCGCGAGCGGGACATCTCGGAGCGCATTTCGAGGATCGAGGGCGTCGACAGCGCCATCGCCCGGGTCGACCGCCCCGTCACGGAGAAGGACATGGCCGAGGTGGTCGCCAGCTGGACCGGCATCGCCGTGGAGCAGGTCGCGGCGGCAAGCCCAGGGGGAAGGGGGAGAGTGAGAGGGAGCGGGCCTACTCAGAAGCTTTCTCAGCCCTTCTCCGCGGCAGCAGGTGGCTTCTCCGAAGGCGCGAGGCCCTCTGAGAAGCCTCGCAGCGTCGGCCTGCCCCATCTCACGCCCCCCCCGCCCCCCGCACGCCGCCAAAGCGAGCAGGATCTAAACCTCATTTCATGAAGGTTCAAGCATGTTTTCAGCCGTTCATTTTTTTCTGATGTGTTTTTTTTTGGTCCGCTCTCCGAGGCGTGATCATTGTGAGATGTCTGTGTGGGTGTCGCAATATTGGTTGTTTGATCGGTCGGTTGGTGGGCTGGTTGGTCTGTCGGTTGGCTGGCTGCTCGGTTGGTTGGTTGGCTGGCTGGTTGGCTGGTTGGTTGGCTGGTTGGCTGGTTGGTTGGTTGGTTGGTTTCTGGTTGGTTGGTTAGTTGGTTGGTTGGCTGGTTGGTTGGCTGGTTTGTTGGATGTGTTGGTGGCCTGGCTGGTTGGTGGGTTGGTTGGCTGGCTGGCTGGCTGGCTGGTTGGCTGCCTGGTTGGCTTTTGGCTGGTTGGTGAGTTGTTTGGTTGGTTGTCGGCTTTGGGCTTGTGGCGTCATGGGTTGGCTGGCCAGTTTGTTGGTTGGTTGGTTGGTTGGTTGGTTGGTTGGCTCGTTGGTTGGTTCGTTGGTTGGTTCGTTGGTTGGTTGGGCGATTGGTTGGTTGGTTGGTTGGTTGGTTGGTTGGTTGGTTGCCTAGTTGGTTGGTTGGCTGGCTGGCTGGCTGGCTGGTTGGCTGGTTGGCTGGTTGGTGGATTGGTTGGTTGGTTGTCGGCTTTAGGCGTGTTGTGTGATTGGTTGGTTGGTTTGACGGGATGGCTGGTTGGTTGGTCGGGTCGTTGGTTGGTTGACTGGGTGGTTGGTTGTTTGGTTTGTTGGCTGGTTGGTCGATTGGTGCGTTGGAAGGTCGGTTGGTCAGTTGGTCGGTTGTTTGGTTGGCTGGTTGGTCGGCTGGTCGGTTGGTTGGCTGGTTGGTTGGTTGGAAGGTCGGCTGGTCGGTTGCCTGGTTGGTTGATTGGGTGACCTGCTGGCCGGTTGCCCGCTTGCCCAGGTGGTTGGTTGGTTGGTTGTGCCCTCCACTATCCCGCCCCTCCTCCCTCGTCTTCCCTCGTCACTCCTCCTTCCTCTCCTCCTCTCTACCGTCCTCCCTTCTCCTCCCTCCCTGTCTTCCTCCACCTCGCCCGCAGCTGACTGCAATGCAATGTATTGCACATGAAATGCAACTGCAACGCAGCGCAATGTAATGCAACGCAGTGGGATGCACTGGTGCAATGCAAGGCAGTGCAACGCAGCGCAGTGCAATGCAATGATATGAAACAGCTACACAACGCAATGCATTCCAACAGGAGGTCATGCAACGCAGTGCAATGCAACACAACGCAACGCAGTGCAACGCAACGCCACGTAATGCAAAGGAATGCAGTGCAATGCGCTGCACTGCAATGCACTGGAACGCAACACACGCCATGTCACGTGGCAACGCCGCGGGGGCCGAACCAAATACTGTCCCACTCCACCCGCCACGTGGCAACGCCAGGGGGGGGGGGCGACACCAAACACTGCTCCACGCTACTCGTCACGTGGCAGCGTCGCAGGGTCCGAGAGCAAGTGCTGTTTCCCTTCTTCGCCACGTGGCGGCGCCTGGGCAGCCCGGGCGAGGGGCGAAGCACACACGGTTCCACCTCTTCGTCAGGCAGGAACGCCGCGGGGTCCGAAGCGAGCATGCGATTCAACTCCACGCGCCGCGTGGCAACGCCTGGAGGCGCGAAGAGGTAGTACTCCATTCTGGTCGTCACGTGGCAGCGCCGCGGGGAACAAACAAGCAATCATGCCACGACGACGACGACGACGACGAGGGCAATGACGAGAACGACGACGACGACGGAAACGACGACGATGACGAGCACCAGGGGGGCAACCGCACATTCTTCCCTCCTCCTCCTCGTCCTTCTCCTTCCCCCGCAACACATCTCATCTCAATGCAATGTAACGCAAATGCAACGCAATCGAAAGAGACAGGACGCAATGTACTGTAATGCAGCGCGGCGCGGCGCAATGCAATGCAATGCACTGCAATGCAGTGCACTACAATGCATTGCAATGCAATGCAAGCAGTGGAACGCAATGCACGTCTCGTCACGCGGTAGCGCTGCGGGGGCCAGACAATTATCCGGGCGACGGGCCTAGCCATGTGCAGATGTGAGTAAAACAGTTGTGGGCATCGTCCACAGTGAACCTCTTTATGGGGCCACGACGCGTGTGACGGGTGTGCCAAGATGGGCACGGGTGCGCCATGCGGGCGCTGCCACTGGAGCCGTCGGTGGGGCCCCCCTATGTGGCCACGAGGTGTGAGGGGTGCGCCTAAATTCAGGCTGGAACCGCATGCGGGCGCTGCCATTGGGCCCCTTGTGTGGGGTCACGAAACGTGTGAGGGGTGCGCCGACATGGGGGGGGGTGGAGCCCCATGTGGGCGCTCTTATCGGGGCCTTCGGTGGAGCTCCCTATGGGGCAACGAAACGTGCGAGGGGTGCACCGGTATGAAAGAGAAGCCGTATGCGGGCGCTGCCACTGGAGCCTTCGGTGGAGCTCCCTATGGGGCCACGGAGCATGTGAGGAGTGCGCTGGCATGCAGGATGGAACCGCATGCGGGCGCTGCCACTCGGGGCCTTCAGTGGAGCTCCCTATAGGGCCATGGAACGTGTGAGGGGTACACCGAAGTCAAAGAGAAGCGTCATGCGGGCGCTGCCACTGGGGCCTTCATTGGAGCTCCTTGTGGGGCCACAGAACGTGTGAGGAGTGCGCCGACATGCAGGATGGAACCGCGTGCGGCCGCTGACGCTGGGGCCTTCGGTGGGGCTGTGAGGGGTGCGCCAAAATGGAGTAGGAACCGCACGTGGGCGCTGCCATTGGGGCCTTCAGTGGAGCTCCCTATGGGGCCACGAAGCGTGTGAGGAGTGCGCCGACATGGGGGGGTGGAACCGCACGCGGGCGCTGCCACTGGAGCCTTCGGTTGAGCTCCCTATGGTGTCACGAAGCTTGTGAGGGGTGTAGAGACATCGACATGCAGAGGGCAGAGGCAGGGATGGGAGGAGGGAGGGGGCAGCGGAGGAGGAGTGAGGAGGAGGAGGAGGAGGAGGAGAAGGAGGAGGAGGAGGAGGAGGAGGAGAAGGAGGAGGAGGAGGAGGAATGAGAACGCGGGGCGCTGTCCTTCAAAACGAGGATCCACCACCACAGGATGGTTGGGAACAAAAAATACAATCTCGCTCCACTCGCCAAGCGGCAGCTCCTGGGCAGGCGAAATAAGACTGTTCCACTCTACTTGTCACTTGGCAGCGCCGTGGGGGCTGAAAAAGCAAGACTATTCCACGATTCGCCAAATGGCAACGCCTGAGGGGGCGAAACGCAAGCAACTAGTCTGGCGAAGGACCCAACCACATGCAGCTGCGAGCATCGCGAGGCAGGTGAACGGGAAGAGGGGGTCTGGTAGGAGGATTGGCGCGTGGGTGGGGAGAACAGCGGACATGGGCGAGCGGAGGGTTTCCTTAGTTTGGCGACGGCGTCGCCAAGGAGCTGGGTTTCGCGGGGGTTTATCCGCGAGGCCTGACCTGAGGAACGGTCCGCCCGAATCTCGCGTTCTCCCGACTACCCAAGTGTATGGCCTCGCGCCGCGGACGGCCCGCGCGCCTCGCTGGAATCCTCTCGGGGTGACCAGAGCGCGTCGCGGGGACTCCCCCGCGCTCCGCCTCCAAGTGCTGCTCGACACCCGCGCCGCGGACGACCCGCGCGCGTCGCTCGAAGTCGCTCGGAGCGACCCGCGCGCGTCGCAGGGCTTTCGCGGGGTGCGCCGAATCGAAGGCAAGTGCACCGCGCGGGCCCTGCCGCTGGGGCAGTCAGTGGAGCTCGCTACGGGGCCACGCAGCGTGTGAGGGGGGCGCCAAGCCGGGTGCGGGTGCGCTGTGCGGGCCCTGCCGCTGGGGCCTTCGGCGGAGCAGCCAAATGGAGCCACGAAGCGTGTGAGGAGTGCGCCGGTATTGAAGTGGAGCTGCACGCGGACCCTGCCGCTGGGTCCTTCCGTGGGGCACTTGATGGGGCCACGAAGCGTGGGAAGGGCGCGCCGAAGTCGAAGTGGAGCTGAACGCGGAACCTGCCACTGGGGCCTTCGTTGGAGCACCCTAGGGGGCCACGAAACGTGTGATGGGTGCGCCGAAATGGATGTGGAACTGCGTGCGGGCCCTGCCACTGGGGCCTTCGGTGGAACACCTTAATGGACCACCAAACGTGTGAGCGATACACCGAAAAGGGGGGTGGAACTGCATGCGGACCCTGCCACTGGGGCCTTCGGTGGGGCACTCTATGGGGCCACGAAGCGTGTGAGTGGTGCGCCGAACTTTGGGTAGAACTGCGTGCGGGCCCTGCCACTGGGGCCTTAGGTGGGGCACCATGTGGGGCCACGAAGCGTGTGAGGGGTGCGCCGGGATAGACATGGAACTGCATGCGGAGGGCAGGGGCAAGGGATGGGAGGAGGGAGGGAACGGAGGAGGAACGGGAAAGCTGGGCGCTGCCTTCCCTTCACGAGGACCAAAACCATAGGATGCTTGGTAACAACCGCTGTATCCGTCACGTGGCAACGGCGTGGGGACAGAACACATGCATATTACGCCGCTCCACGCGCCACGTGGCAACACCAGGACGCGCGAAGTAATACTAGTCTATTCTAGTTGTCACGTGGCAGCGCCGCGGGTGCCGAAACAAACATTATGCCACATCGACGACGAGGACGACGGCGACAACGACGACGGCGATGACCAGGACCAGTGGGGTGAACGCAAATGTTATATTGTTCTTCTCCTCGTCCTTCCCCCTCCCCCCTCCCTCTTCCCTCCTTCCTCCCTCCTCCATCCCCCCTCATCCCTCCCCTTTCTTCCCTCCTCTCTCCTCCGTTATCCCCCCTCCTCCTCCCCCCCCTCCTCCTCCACTTTCTCCTCCTCCTCCTCCTCCTCCTCTTTCTCCTCCTCCTCCTCCTTCTCCTCCTCCTCTTCCTTCTTCCTCCCCTCTTCTCTACCTTCCTCTACTATCCTTCCTCCCTGTCCTCCCCATCCTCCTCCTCAACCGCAATCGACTGCAATGCGATGTACTGCAAATGCGATTCAGATACAAGGCAATGCAATGCAATGCAACACAACACACTACACTGCAATGCATTGTGTTGCAATGTAACGCAATGCAGCACACTGCAAGGCAATGCAAGGGAAGGCAAGGCAATGCAAGGCAAAGCAAGGCCATGCAACTGCAACGGCAACGGCAACGACAACGGCAACGGCAACTGCAGCTGCAATTGCAACGCAATGCAACGCAACGGAATGCAATGCAATGCACTGCAATTCAGCGCAACCAGTTGCCACGAAATGCGACGCAACACAAAGCGATGCAGTGCAGCGCCGCAACGCACTGCAATGCCCAGCGACGCAACGCAATGCGATGCAACGCCGCCTCCCGCCTCCCTCCCCCTCCTCCGGGGCCAGGGCAGCGCCGCAGGGGCCGACCAGAAGCAGCACCGTGCGGCGCTTCGCCATGTGGCAACGCCTTCGGGGTGGGTGGGGGGGGGGGGGGGAACACGGACAGAGACACGTGGGAGCCGTCACGTGGCCGCGCCGCGGGGGCCGAGCAACGGGAGTGCTGCGCCCACTCCGCTCGCCAGAGGCAGCGCCTGGAGGCGCGGCGAGGCAGTCTTCCGTCCTCGTCGTCGCACGGCAGCGCCGCGGGGGCCGATGACATCGGATGCCACGACGACGACGCTGACGGGCACGACGACGACGACGACGAGGATCAGGGAGGCGAGCAAAAATATGATCCTATCCTCCTCCTCGTCCCTCTCCCTCCCCCCTCCTCCCTCTCCTCCCTCCTCCCTCCCTCCCTCCCCCTTTCTCCCTCTTCCTCCCCTCCTAGTTACCTTATA